TTTTTTTTTTTTTTTTTTTTTTTTTTTTTTTTTTTTTTTTTAGCCTGGGACCCTCCCCCCCCGGTCCTTGCACGGCCGGGCCGCCTGGGAAAATAAGGAGATCCGGGCGGCCTGGCAGGTAAGGGGCAAAGCACAGTGCAGAACACGCAATGCGAATGTACACGAACTCTTCAACGAGTAAGCAGAAGACCCGCGATGCAGGATGTCATATAGGAAATATAGTAGCATCATGGACGTCGCATGCCCGGCGGGTATAGCCTAAATAAGCATATTACTCCTTTTTTTTTTTCAGATTTTTTTTTTTTTTTTTTTTGTTTTTTTTAGCATGGGACCTTTTTTCCCCATCCTTGCACGGCCGGGCCGCCTGGGAAAATAAGGTGATAGGGCGATCCGGGCGGCCCGGCTGGTAGCCTAGATAAGCATATTAATCCTTTGACCAGGTAAGTTAGGATCAAGGTGAAGAGATTTGGACAAACGAAAATTCAAGTGGACAATCATCAAACCGAATTGGTCAGTTCGATTTTCCTATTTAGTACATGATAGGAACCGATTTGGACAGCCGATATAGGTTGGGAGAAGTGATGAGCATTTTCGAGATATCAGATTTAGGTTGGGAGAAACGATGAGCATTTTGGACATACTGGATATAGGTTGGGATAAATGATGACCATTTTGGACAAAATGATTGAACAGTTTGGACGCATGACAGAGTTAGGCAGATTGATTTAACAAATTAGTATTACCAAAACCACATTTAGTTCAACAGTCAATCAATTTGAGATTCTGCGCACAAAACCACATTTAGTTCAACAAAGATATCAATTTAGTGAAGCAATTTTGCATGCTAGTCACATGCGTCTCAATCACGGACCTGCTGCTTCCGCAAAGATATCAATTTAGCGAAGCGATTTTGCCTGTTAGTCACATGCGTCTCAATCATGGGGCTGCGCAGGACACATGTGAGCGACGCACGATTTTCTGTGGGGCCCACCAATTTATGCGCTCGGCAGTCTAAATCGTTCGGTCCTTTGACCAAAGGCACAGTGGGTCTGTCCAAGTTTCTAGAATACCTGTCCATATAGATTTACAAGGTGTCCAATTCTAAACTACGGTTCCAAGAAGCTTCTACAAAAATCTTAAACGTTTGGACTACACGCCCGATTACAATCTACCGGTCCAAGAAGCTTCTACGAAATTCCAAATCGGTTCGTAGTTTCTCGAACTTAGGCGCGTTCACCTAATTTGATTAAAAAAAACATCCAATTCTAATCTGCCGGTCCGAGAAGCTTCTTCGAAATTCCAAATCGGTTCGCCGTTGCTCTTAACTTCGATGTGTTCACCTAATTTGGTTAAAAACAAATCCAATACGGTATAGTTTTTGGCAAGAACCTGGTAGGGCCTGCCCGTTTCGGTTCACGATATGTCCAAATAGCGGCTAACTTACTTGGTCAAAGGAGTACTTTTTTCTTTATACACTATTGCAATCAGACTCGCTCTCATTCACACTTTACATGCATGCAAACAGGTGCGCAGCAAACTGGCGACAAGCGCCCACTCGAAACTCAGAGATATGGTAGCCAAGAACGCAGTTCAGGTACAAGTTCACTTCAATGGCTATGGCGACACAGCGCCCGCACAACTCTCTGTTCGCACACATAGGATCACCCTGAATATCCCACTTGCGATACTCTGTACACACCTACACACAAACACACACGCTACACTCTACCTACAGCTATGGCGGCTAGGGCCGCTGCTAACCTATCGCTATGGCTAAGCTCCTTCTCGCCCACTTCGTCTTGGGGCTCACTGCAGACCACCTCGCACAAGTCGCTTATGGCAGCGCTTCCGCATGGCTTACGCAGGAATGAATGAATGGCTGGACGCTGCCCTTTGATTTATACTTCTGTAGCTCGTTGGTCTGGCCCTTTCCCATGCCCGTGGTGCACACAGTCCCATACGGTACTTGCTTGACTAGACTAGGACTGACTGGGACTGGGACTGCTGACT